TTCCTCGCTACGTTTTTAAGTCTACTTTGAGTTCCTCGCTTCCACTGTTTTCCGCGATCCTGGCTGCATGGGGAGTGGCTATAGGGCGGCAACCCTTGCACTGTCCTGCGATTCTTTGGCCTCGAAAAACTTAAGAAGCAGTAGCGCGTACGTTTTCAATAATGGGGGAGGGGAAGCTGTGGAGGGTCAAGCTGCACTTCGGCGCTTTACACTACACTAGTAATTTTCTATTATGAAATAGTAAAGAATGGACTAATCACTTGTTTCCTCTCCGTATGCCATTTGTTGCAGAATTTTGTGAGCGCGAAAATAAGAATGCACAATGTCGACAGTGTGCTCCCAGTGATCCGCGCAGCTAGTCGGAATGCTCGGAGTGCTTAGAGGGTACAGCTACTCTCACCTGCCTGTCCCTCTCCCCTTCTGTCAGGAGCTTCTTAGGGCGCGGGCCGGGAAAACAAAAGTTTGATGTAAAACCTCACGACCTTTGATTTGTGTTGGTATTGATTCTTAAGAAAAGCGCCTTCCTACGTTGAGCTTAGATGGAGCGCTTTGAAAGGATCGGAAATTTTCACCTCTGTCTGGCATTAGATCTGGATGTCTCTCTTAGTCGTGCAACAACACTTTAAGACTACGCCTGTTGGAAAGTAAGGAGGTCAGTAAAATATTCTATTCTAGTAAAATTCAATGCGTCGTAGCAGTGATCCATCTGTATCAGGCCCTGCCTCAGATTAGCCCAGGGGAACATGAGTGGAGGACTGCAGTAAGGATTACCGCAGCCTGTTCGACCAGCAACAGGTCCCAAGGAGTCAAGCATACGTGTAAAGCTGCTTGCATTACGTTTTTTTGCCGCTTTTGCATTGCAGTATCCGGTTCTTTACAGCCTCATCTACTGGGTCGTTTCGCGCCTACGTGCACAATTCCACGACTTCACATGCCCTAAGCTGCGAGTTTAGTGATGAAAGACCTCCTTTTGGTGCTGATTTAGCCCAACTGTGTGTGTTTTAGGGAATCTTCTACCTGATATTCTCCTTAACAAAGCTGGGTCAGCGCCATATGCTGAGATTTCTCCGTTTGCCGCTAGCAGCGCACCCGCTGGCGAAGACGACGTGACTAGACGACGAGTGAAATTGAATCTACACTAATCAGTATGAAAAGCTTGTCTAGATAATTACTATGAGGCCGGTTCCGATAACGTAGAGAATTTTAAAAGGCCCCACGAACCAGAAGGCGTCGTAGTTTTTAAGCAAGTGGCCCTTCTAACATCCCACGCCCTTCATCCAGATTCGAACCTCCAGCGACAGCCAGTTCTAGGTATATTGCTTGCGAATGAGGTCTTTCGCTGTTCCGATCCTCCTCAACACCGTGGGGAAGAAGCGTTCTCGCTGCAGGCCGAGTGCTGAAAAGTGATCACGATAACCATTCTTTTCGCATTCTAAAAGCCACTGCACAGTCTGTGTCAAACACGAACCGATCATTCTTCCTGTTTTGAAAAAATGTGGGGACGTTACACAGCCGTTCTTAAATTTGATCCTTCTTCGCACGCTTTCACGGTCACATGACCTGCTGCTGCTTGCCCGCAAGCCAGACTCCAGCACAACAGCAACTATCTTCGATACCATATACGCTTCGATGTTGTACATGACCACCCACCTCTAAGGTAATTGAACCCTTAAACGTGATTGGTTTATCAGAGCTGGTCTCTGCAAGGTTTGTTGCGTACATGCCAAGTTGGGGTTTCCAAGAAATAGCTTTTCCGTTGGCTTAGCGGGCATCAGTGCTACTTCAGCTACAATGAGGTAGCTGAAGAGTGAACTTTCTTCTTATCCTGCTCTTTTTTTAAATAGTTTTATTGTAAGGCTCAATTTGCTTTTGAAACATAACCCTGAGAGAAGGGGACGAAATCGGCAGAGTCCGGAAAAACATCCTTTCCTCAACTCGTTTTAGTCCTGTCTAATTCGCTTGGCTTATCAATCGAATGATCCTATATTTGCACTAAATTCATTCGGGGGCTGAGTGACATGATAAAGTATGGACGTGCATGGGCCCTAGTTGTGAAGGTTTATGGCTTTCAGCGCGCCTGGCACTGGAAAGCAAGCAGCTCAAGGCATGATAGTAGTGTAAGTTCCTCAAGCCTGTAATATAGCAATATGGGAGGGCCCCAAGGACTAAGGAGCTCTTTTAGAACGGCCGTCAACAACTTTTCATAAGTTTTAGTTCGAGCGTGGGGCCAAGTATCTCCTTTGGAAAACCTTGGGGGGGAGCGCTCTAGAGCCGTACAGCGGCAAATGTAAGAATAGACGGTCCACATTCAACAATGTCAATGCTCTTTTGTAATTGAGGATAATGATACATAGTTTGGTAAAAATGATCATGGTAACATGTCTCATTGTACAATTGATCGCGCTTCCACAGAGAAGAGTGTCCGTGGCGGGCAAAACTACAATTATTCTAAACAGCATAAAATTATTGTAGTGCGGTTCGCCTTTAAAAAGTTGACTAGTTTTTCCGGCTGGTAACATTTGTTATGCATCGTAGAGTAGGGCTTGCTCAATATTGAAAGTGCGAGCACTAGGCACAGCTGAAATGAGTACACGCAGTGCTCCGATCGTAGAGCTACAAACTCTCTCACTGTCCTGCTCACCTCGCGGTAAAGCTCTATACCGGGAGGGCTAGAAGAGGGAGGAAATTTGTGCTATAGTGCTTGCGACATTCTGTGTCTTGGATTGGGGGCTAGTCTCCGTTCCGACGGCGATCGTAGTCAGTGCTACATCATGTGTGTGCAGCGATTTGCTCCCATATAGGTACGCAATAATTTTAAATATGTCAAAATTATATCTCAAGTGGCTGACCAAAGGGCGGTGTGCACACGGAATCCTCAGTGAACACCTCGGTTGTCTCGAGTGAACGCTCTGTCGGGAGGTCCATGACGCTTCTGCTAAAATATGCACTGCTGACTGACCAAAGTGAAAATAGGGGCCCCTTCTTTTGCGCATACTATGTGAGCTTCCTATACAGCCCTGTAGAATTGTTAGATAGAGGAATGCCTTGTACATTGGTCAACAGACTTGCCGTAAGCACTGCTGTGGCGGCGCCTGCAAGGAGGATGTATACGGGATGCTGCGAAGTCTGCTCGTCTGCAGAAGGTGCGGAACCGAACTCCTCCGTTCTCTGCCATGAATCTTATTGCTTTTATAATCTTTGTTTCGTACACTGGTGTTATGATTCCACTCCTTCCATCGACGGGAAAGCGCCTCTGCCCATGGACGAAGGGGCCACTTCATTCATCCTGCCACGTATTCTATATGGTGCACTCGCCCTTGCTAAGAAGGCCTATCTAGCCACCATGCGGGGCCTGCTGGACCTTCCAATTATCTTCCCTTAGTTTTTTGGCGCAGAATGAACGGTTCAAGGGTGGTGAACCAAATGTATTTTTCGGTTGTGGAGGCAAGCGAGCGGATATGTAAACAGTACCGCACGGACCGCGAGCGAGGTTCAGCGCGTATCGTTCCCTTTTCACAAAAAAGCCCACAAGTACTACTCAATTTCTGCTTGTTTTTGAGTGCATTCGGGAGTGCAAGCGCGTTTAAGCGGAGCGAAGGGTTTATGAATGGAGGATACGCCAAGCCTCCAACCGATCTCAAAACCGGTCGCCCCCTCATGACCCAGTCATTTGAAGGATTTGCTGCGGCCCTGCCTTTCCAGACAGCATCCAGTGGAATAGCCACTGCAGGAGGGGCCCTTCAGGCGGCCCCTCCTGGCAACTTCTCTTCTGATAATCCCTCATCGGCTGATATGGGTACAGCAGTAACGGATACGGACGTTGTTGACGCGTCTACTCCAAGTTTGAGTAATAAAGCAAGCTCCGATTGGTTTTTCTGGGATGCAGACCAACCGTCGGAAGAAGATCGAGTAATTGCATATTCTTCCCGATCCCTCTGGAGGCCCACGAAGCAGATGACAGGCGTTCCGCCACCCCGCACACTCCTTTCCGAAGGAATATTGCACGGGCAGGTCCGTAGGTCTATTAACAAAGGACGGGGGGGTGAAAGAAGCAGCGTCTTCTCCCGAATTGTTGGATGGCCATGGACCGACCCTGCAATAGCTGAGGCTGAAGCTGTTTCTGATTTGGCACGGAAAGTACACCACTGGAATTCACAGCGCCACCGTAAACCCGGGAGCAAAACTAAACTCATCTTCGCTATGCGCCATGCAGAAAGTGAATTTAACGTGTGGCGGCGTGAATCCTTCATGAAGCTTCGTTTCAGGGGTAAGGCAAGCGCACATACATTTGTACGTTTACTAATCGGCACCTCCCTATGGGGCATTGTTTCGCGGTGTGTATGCACGCTTATGTGAATTCTATTGTGATGCATTCTTCAGATATGCTCAAAAGGGATTGGGGAGAATGTGATGTACAATTGTCACCCGAAGGCCAGGCCCAGTGCAAGAGGGCCAATGAGAAGCTAAAAGCTTTGCTGGCGGCCGTACGTGATCTGGAGGAGGACGAAAAAAACGAGGGCATCAGCATATCACGCCCATTTTGCATTGACGCGTTCCTTGTATCACCACTTGTTCGGGCGCTGCAGACTGCCGCGAACTCGTTTCATGAAATCGACTCGAGCTGGCACTGCTCCTCGACGAACTTGGCCTCAGCTAGGCAAAAGAGGAGTGTTACCTGGATAGTTGACAGTATCCTACGGGAGAAGCTTTCCACAATGGGAGATGTCGGCACAGAGCGCTGCTCCCTGCTTTCTCGACTTGCCGACTTACACAAGCAAGGGAAATTGCAGTCCAGCACCTTCGACTTTGGGCTTGTTCCTGAGAGTGAAAAATGGTGGGTTCCCGACACTGCGGAGCAGATCCGGGCTCTTGTTGAGAATTGCAGCTACCCTAAAGGGAGTGGCAGTAGCTGGTCAGACACGCAGAGCACATCAGCGTCAGAGACAGGACAGGATGCAGGCGATGCCGTTTTCATCGTGGGAAGTGCATCTAAGCATCCTCTCTCCGTTGCCGAAAGTTCAATTAAGAAAACTTTTGAGCTGGCGGAGCGGCCGGCGCGGGATCCTGACGCGGCACGCCGCCGCATGATGGAGTGGGAGGAACGCAGTGCAAGGCTTCCCTTCTACCAAACGGTGCCCGAAGAGAGCAATGACTTGTTGCAGCTGCGTGGGACTTTGCTGCTGTCTATTCTTTGCCGGGCCGAACTTGTGGATACTGCTTTCATTGTGACGCATTCTTTGTTTCTCAAAGCCCTTACAGGCACAAAAAAGTTCGCAAACGCGGAGATCCGAGCATTTACGCTCGTTTGCGACAAAAACCCAAGGCTGGTTCCCTTATAGAATGAGTCCTGTCGTTCATATATGCTGTGCTGACACGCAGATTGTGCATTAATTAGCTGTTATGTTGTTCTCGCTGCGCGGTTTTCGCTGTACCCCAGTGTGGGGAGGCGGTGCGCCTAAAAATCATTTTAAACTTGTTTTTTTGGGGATGTGTGAATTCCTGTGTAGGCTTGTACAGAAAGTCATGCAGAGAGTAATACAGCTCAAAGCGCAAAAAATAGTACATGGGTCCTCAAGACTAGAAGTTCCACCGGGCACTCTAATGGTCTGGGAGCTGTGAATGCATGTGCCCGAGTCCCACATAAGGTCGCACCCCTACCGCTCTTTGGCAAGATTAATCTGCGTAGAGTATCATGTCTCTATGGGAATGGGCACGGCACTAAGAATGTGCAGTTGGGGTCCAAAGTGGTGGCATAAGCATATTGCAGAGGGTGCAAAGCGCCTCATACAGATCTGCAGACTGGCTTGGTTCTGTCACTGCAGCTGCTGGAGCTGTGCAGTCGTTACGTCTTCTTCATCAGGTCCTCCTAGGGAAGTGAGGTGCGGCTCGAGTGCAGACGAGGGTGACCGCAGGCGTTCTCAAGCACTGGGGTGCCAATCAGAGCGTGCAATAAGTGAGAATGAGTCACTACGAAGAAGGTAGACGCACTCCCAGCAGTGCAGAGCGCGGTCAAAAAACAGCTTTCCCCATGATCTCAGCTGTTTTAATGATAAACTGGTGGTACACGCACTGTTTCACTCATTACTGAAGTCCGGTCTCCTTTTCGGTTGAAAAATTTATCGCTGTGCAAGCTGGCTTCCAGCTCTGATATGGATTTTTTTACTTCTGATTTAGACGAAGAAGACGCACGTGAAGCACCTTCACCAATAGTCGAAATTGGGCTTTTTGTGAGTGCATCATGATATATCTGCTGCCGGGGGACCCCACTGTCAGGTCATTGCTTACCTCAGGATTACTGCCGGTTCTGGACTGGTTTAAGAGCTGTTCAGTGTATTCGCATTATGAGGCATCCAGCACTTTTTGCCCTGTGGTATAGCTTGGATATCGAAAACTAACGGGAAGATAGTAATATCGCGGTGAAGCTCTGAAAGGTGCGAAAGTAGCGTAGTAGCTTCTGTTCCTGTATCCGTCAGATTAGTTAGCTTCTCCCGGATCAGCGTGTCCACTATCCAATTCACACGCGTTTTAGGTTTTGCCTCATCCTGACTTAAAGAACATGCCAGTTTAGAACCAACCTGAAATACACTTTGGCTCGCTTTTTGCAGAGTGCGCTTTAAGGGAAAGACAAGAAGGACATCGGTGCAAAAGGGACGAACGCCGGCCGATTGGCTTTCCATTCCCGAAAACTTCTCCAACAAGAACATCAAATCAGCGCCGGCTTCTAAACACTGTTTTCGACCTTTAGGCGATAAGAGGGGGTCACCCTGCCCCAATCACGTTGCCTATTGCGGGTCCCTGAGCACAATCAAGCAGTCACTACGCAACTCAGAGGTTTTCGCAGCAGGCCTAAGTGGCCCAGTAGGGACAGCGCAACGACACCATGATTTGAACTCTTAGCCACTAAAGTAGAAAGCTGTAATAAGTCAGCTCGGTGGGAAAATTGTGTACGCGTAAACTCGTCAGTGCATATTGTAATATAGGTTGTGCATACGTGCCCACATGCAAATCGCAGTAGTCCACGGGTTGACGCTAGCTCCTTATTCGTCATGCTTTCTGCATGACGCATGAGGAGAATTATTTAAGTGTCTTTGTAAGCCCAATGCTGATAAGTTCTCCATAAGAACAACTTCTGTGCCATCAAGTCGAGGGGTTTTCTTCCTCTCCTCAGTCTGATCCGCTGCAACAGGGTGCATGGCAATGCTCTTAGGCGGAGCGTTTCTGAAAGAAGTCTCTAAGAACGTTATCTGAGCCTTATTTTGTCTTTCATCTAGTTCGGATAGGACTCCATATCTCCAGTCCATTGTGCTGAGCTACATGTAGTGGCCACGCCATCACGCTCTAATCCAAGGATAACGTGAGCGTCAACTGGGCAATCCGTAGGGCCAAATACAATGCCTGTAGGCTTGGAAGAAGAGGCTAACAAAAAAACAAAAGCTGTAAGCAGGAAGACCTTGATTTTCAAACCGAAATCAAGGAAACCCATCTCTATGTCTCATGGACCTTGCCGTGTAGCTGATATGCTCCTTAATTAAAGACTCACAAGGAAACCAAATATCGTACTGAGTGTAATCGAGGCGAAGTACAGTTACACGCAACTCTAGGAGTACGAACAGATGACTGGAACGTAGAAGGGAGATAACTCCCAGGTGCGAAGAATGAAGCACATAAGGCCAATTGACATGCCCAGCTGCGAAGCTTCATTGTTTTAAAAAAGAGAGGAGTACTGTTCAAGCTGCTCCCGATTGACGTTCATAAGTCACGTACGTTCAAAACAAGGCAATTCTCTAGCCCAATGGGAACACACGCTAGCCTTAAAACCCGAAATTTTTTCCGAACAGAGCAGCGCTACGCTATATTTTTGATTAAAAGCATTGTGTATTTCCACTGAAAGCTATACTGACGCGGACACACTATCTCCATGGAAGCCCGACTACCGCAGCCAAGTGGGCTGGCTGCCCGCGGGGCGACGCAGAAAAAGGAAGGCATTGTTTTACATTTCGATACTCGCCACAAATAGTCCGTCGCCTCCAGGTCTTCCTGACACGACTCGACAGCTAATGAACAGACAAATGGCCGAAATGTCATGAGTTGGTAATGTGCGGTTAGTTAAAGAAGGTTCTTGGGCGGCCATGCGTCTCGTTATGGAGAAGCAACAGCCTTCATGATGCCAGCTACATTCGAAATAGGTATTTAGAGTATTGACCGCGCTGCTGGGCCTCCCCAATTATCAATTGTTCACATGGTGCTGTTAGCTCCGTACAATAAAGAATGCATGCGTTCAGCGAGCCCATCTACACTGCAGCAGTACAGCAAGCTAAACTACATGTATGCAGTTTTCATTGTAGTATTGATACTTCACTAAGAATTAGTAAAGGAATGGACTGAAAGTGTGTTTGTTCGTATATCTTATCTGGGGTACAGTAGCGTTAGCTCGAGACAAGACTCCATGTTATGCGCATGCGCTATGTTGCGCTCCATTTGAAGTCTCTATTACGAAACACTTCATTCCAGGCTCAGTATAAACGTAGCAGAACGCTATTGGGTGCTTCCCCAAGACATCGCCCGTGGCCCCCAGAGTTGCCGGCATATCAGACCAGTGGGCAAAGCTACGCTTAAATCGTTTGTGCCACAATAATTATATTCATATACACTGTAGTGGAGAAGTGGCTAATTTCACATGATTGTTCGTAAATCAATTTCATTGCGGAGTAACATTGATGTGATACAAGAAGGCACGATATTTTGTTTGTGAGCTGTGTGCTATGTGCAACTAGCTCTGATTACTTGGTATGCTCACAAGGTGCAGCTACGTGCACTTTAGAGGTACCTCTCCCTTGATACTGGTAACTTCAAAGGGCGAGGGCAGGGAATATAGGGAGCACTTTGTTTTTCAAAATTTACTAAACATTTTTCCATGTTTTTACTGGTGCGTATGTGAGTGTCGCCTGATCAAGACCGTAGGTAGGGCATTATAATAGGGAGAAACCGTGCGTTGCAATGCAGCCATTCTTCACTCATCCTCCACTGGCTGCGATTACAGTGGAATAACAGGCTTCCCTGCAACAGTTGTCTGGTATCGATCAGATCTTCCGGTAATGTAACTTCTTTGGCAACGCGCTGAAGTCAAACACCTTAGGAAGGTGGAAGTAGACAATGACACAGCGCAAATTGGGGACCCAGAGGCTGGCCTGCAAGCTTATGCAGACGCAGTAGCTCTACAGCTGGTATTAAAGCAAGATCTATAGACTGGACATAGGTAGCATCAGCATGCTCCGTGACGCTTTTTTCAAACCCGTTCACCTTGATGTAATCCTGTGTATGCCACAAATGACCTAAAGCATGGTGCACATGCGACCACTGCTGCACGCTGTGCAGGTTAGTACGCATGGAAGAACCAGAAAGAGTCAACATCTGATATCCTCGGCAACGCTCACTTCACCTATGGTAACTGGGGTAGACTCGGTGCCTCAACAAGGTAAGGCAGAGTCGCCATAAGGGCGGCTCAGCAGACCCTTTGGAGAAGGCAGTTTCCAGCATGCAGGCCATCTTTCTGACCCTACAGCTATTTCCCTACTAAAGAATATGACTGAGCATCCTTTCGAAAGAAGAGCAAGAGCAAATAAATACAGGGAGGAGATCGCAAATGGCGAAACCATGACGAACTGCCAGCAGGCTGGCCACCTGCTCTGCGCCTACAATACCGTATTCAGCCTACCCCTGCTTCAGCCTCATGCCGTGTTCTGCAGTATCAAATGGCCGCCTATCACGGCGAGGAA